AATCCCAGCCCCTGGAGCTGCCAGCCATTCCTGGGATGGCAGATGGGGTTTGCAGGAGTCCTGCACTGTGCAGGGGCTCATCCTGCCCTGAAACCTGCTGCAGCACAGATCCCACCTCATCAGAGCACAAAATCCCAATGAGGACCCCTGCCCTGTCTCCAGCTTACAGGAAGATCCAACAGGACTGAGCAAAGTCAGGTACCAGAGCTGGCAAATGGATCAGTTTTTGTAGAAAGGGTTAACAGCAGGCTTGTTAGCTAAGCTAAAGGAGTAAGAAGAAGCTAAGAAGCAAGAAAAAGCTGATAAAGAGCTCTTTTTAAAGTTGTGACTAAAGAGACTGAAAGAAGAGAAGAATTGAAGAAAGATAAGAGAACTTTGCAACTATATGAAGAATTTAAAAAAGTTAGTTGAAGTCATTGTAACTTTCACCAATAATGTTGACTTATTGTAGCCAATAGTTAAAGTAGAAGAAGCACAAACAATTAAAAAGTGTATAAAAAGTCAGCCACGTTCAATAATAAAGAGTTGCCATCTGAGACTGCTCGTGGTCTCTGCTTGGTGTCATGACTGCCTCGACAAGCAACAAGTTTTCTCCCATTACTCTCACAGAGGTTTTGTGGGGAGCCAAAGCACCCTCACAGTTATGCTGGGAATTATGCTGGCCCCAGAGCTCAGAGCTCAATCCTGGCCCCAAAGCTCAAACTCAAGCCTGGCCCCAAAGCTCAAACTCAAGCCAGGCCCCAAAGCTCAGAGCTCAAGCCCTGGCCCCAAAGCTCAAACTCAAGCCCTGGCCCCAAAGCTCAAACTCAAGCCTGGCCCCAAAGCTCAGCCAGGCTGGTGGGCTGGGGAGGGAGCAGAAAGCAGGGCTAATTCTGCTTTTAAAAACAACCTCCCCAACCCCTCTTTGTCCTGCTCCCTTCACTCAGAACCTCACTGCTAAATCTTCCTGAAAAGCAATTTTACAGCCAGAGTGAGCTCAGCCTCAGGCAAGCCCTCCTTGCTGGGGCTCACGTTTCCAGGCAGGCAGGCAGGAGAGCTGGCCAGGAGCTGCTCCAGCCCCTGGGGCTGCAGGGAGCCTGGAAAGCTCCACGTTCCTCAGCAAAGCTGTTTCCTGAAGGATCTGGCACAGCCCTCCCCGCTGAGCTCATTTGTTTGCTCTGCTCCTCCTTTCTTTCTTTCTTTCTTTCTTTCCTTCTTTCCTGGGGTCTCCATTGCCCTGTGCCAGGGTGGGACCTGGGGTGATGTCCCAGCAGGGCTCTGTCCCTCTGTCCGTCTGCAGCTGCCCAGAGCCCTGCCAGGGCACAGCTGGTGCCAGCCAGGGGCTGGGTGCTGCCACAGCTGCTGCAGCACCACAGAAAAGCTCTGCCAGGGGCTCATGGCCAGCTAAGAGAGCTCAAAAAGCACTTCAGATTCCCCTCAGAGCTTTCCAGGCACAGAGCAGGAGCACTGCCAGGAAAATCCAAACACCACCAGGCTCTGCTCTGTGGGATGAAGGTGGTGCCAACACCCAGAGAGGGACAAGCCCTGGCCCCAAAGCTCAAAGCTCAAACCCTGGTCCCAAAGCTCAAGTCCTGACCCCAAAGCTCAGAGCTCAAGCCTGGCCCCAAAACTCAGGCCCTGGCCCCAAAGCTCAAAAGTCAAACCCTGGTCCTAAAGCTCTAAATTCAAACCCTGGCCCCAGACCTCAGACCCTGGCCCCAAAGCTCAAACCCTGGCCCCAAAGCTCAGAACTCAAGCCTGGCCTCAAAGCTCAGGCCTGGCCCCAATGCTCAAGCCCTGGCCCCAAAGCTCAAGTGCAGCTGCTCTGCTTTGCAGGACCCAGCTCAGTGGCTCCACAAGAGCTCAGAGGGCTGAAGGAGTTTTGCACTTACAAAATCCCCTCCTGAGAGCATCACAGACCTGCTCAGAGAGGCCAGAGCCTCCAGAAATTTCCCATAAAAAGTCAAATCCTCAAAGCAGGCGCTCACAAAATGAGGCAATGCAAAGGCAGCAGAGTTCCTGTGGGCTGGGGTTGGGATGTGGGGCAATCCTGGAGCTCCTTCCCATTCCAGGAACCCAGCCTGACACACAAACCCCAGGGCACCTCCTCAGGTCGTGGTGCTGACCCCAACTTGGGACACTTTGGGGTTTGTGAGGGAGCCAGAGCTGCAGGAGGAGCATTCAGCAGGACAAAGGGGGTTTGGGGAGGTTGTTTTCAAAAGCAGAATTTTGGAGAGCTGCAGTGGCCACAGGGCTGGTGCTGCTCTGCAAGGGCTTCCCAGCAAGCAGAGGGCTTGCAGGAAAACCACAGCAGCCAAAGCTCCCCTGCTAATGAAACTCAGATGCTCCAAATGGGACTGGGAACAAACTCCAGCATTCCCAGAAGCTGAACAGAACCTAAACCCAGCAAGTCTAGGGAGATGGAACCACCTTTGTGCAGAAAACCAGTCCCAGGCTCACGTGGATGGCACCCCTGGGCTGAGAGAGACAAAGCTGGGGGTCAGCTGGGACAAAACTGGCTGTCATCTGCAGCCATGATATTTTCTGAAAAATCATTTCCTTGGGAGTTTATCTCCTGAGAAGCTGAGAAGCCTCAGAGGAGAAGAAAAACAATAATTATCTGCTGCTGTGGAATGCAACAGGTACATCTGTGATTGGTCTCGTGTGGTTGTTTCTAATTAATGGCCAATCGCAGTCAGCTGGCTTGGACTCTCTGCTCAGTCACAAGATTTTATTGTCATTCCATTCCTTTCTATTCCTTGCTAGCCTTCTGATGAAATCCTTTCTTCTATTCTTTTAGCATAGTTTGAATATAATATGTATAATAAAAATATAATAGTAATAATAATAATAATAATAATAATAATAATTATAATTATAATAATAATAATAGTAATAATAATGTATAATATATAATATATAATTTATATTATACACATTATATATTAAAGATTGTATATTATACAATATCTTAAATATTATATAATATATAATATATAATATATAATATATAAATAGTTTTAATATAATATAGAAAATAAAATGGCCATATAATACATGTATTATATGTATTATATATACTTATTATATATTATCTATTATATACAATACATATGTAATACATATATATATATAATATATATAATAAAATCAGCCTTCTGAAACATGGAGTCAAGATTCTCATCTCTTCCCTCATCCTGGGACCCCTGTGAACACCACCACAGTCATTCCAAACTGGGAAAAGATTCCAGAAAGGAACCAGGCTTGAGGACAGCCAGAAAATATTGAAAGAGCCTTCCTCCCTCCCAGGTGAAATCCTCTTCAGAAGCAGAGCTTCCCACCCTGTCCCTGGGGAGCTGTGGCTCTCTGAGCTGTCCACCAGCAGCCTGGGGAACAAAGGCACCACAACCCCCAGCTCCAACAGCACCTTCCCCCAAGCACAGGCCTCTGCAGCTGGCCCAGCCTTTCTTTTCCAGCAATTTCCACCCCCTTTTTTCCCACAGTGGAAACCCCAGTGACACGTTTCCGAGCAAAGGGAAACCATTCCAACACCACGGAGAAACAAACTCTGGTGAGTGCGAGCAGCAGAGCTCTGACCAGGCTTCCCTCCCAAAAATAGCAGAGTTCTGGTGGGAATTTTCTGCAGAGCACAAATCCAATTTTTCCAAGTGATGGCCTTTGCCAATTTGGCTTCCATCTCTCCCTGCTGGCAGGAGCATTTGTACAGCAAGAGCTTTTCTGCTCTAACCCCAGGTGAGCTTTTCTGCTCTAACCCCAGGTGAGCTTTTCTGCTGAGCTTTGCTTTTGCTGATGTTACAATGCCAGGACAAGCCAGAATCACAAACCCAGAGCAGATCCTCTTGCTCAGAAAGGGGTGGAAATTAAATTATTTTCTATTTTTTTTTCCACAGCACTCAGAGCAAAGCAAACCCCACAAAGGCCTTTATGTTTCTAGAAGAGCCAGGAGGCAGAGCACAGCACAAAGAGCTGCGCTAAACAGACCTGAAAGTCACTGGAAGTGATTATGGTGCTGTGACATTCCTAAATATGCTCATTAGCTGCTGGGGGTGGGGGTAAAGACAACTCTGTGGCCAAAGAGACTCCCCACAGGCTGCTTATTTTCCCAAGGCACATTAAGGCTCTTTTTTCCCCCACAGCAGCAATCCCCACACCACAAAGTGCCCCAGATTATCACATCTGCTCTCTGGGCATAAAACCACTGGTGCTGGACATGGCACAGAGCTCCTGGCTTTGAGCAGGGCAGGAAGCCAAGGCTGAATTCCACTTTCTTGCCTCCTCTCTGGTGTCCCCTGGAGCTGCACAGGACAGGGAAAGCAGAGTGGGAGCAGTTCTGGGGCTTCCACTCAACAATTCTGGAGGTTCATTGTGGTGGTGTTCACAGGGGTCTGAGGGAAGAGACGAGGATCTGACTCCATGTTTCAGAAGGTTTGATTTATTATTTTATGATCTATATTATATTAAAACTATATTAAAAGAATAGAAGACTGGATTTCATCAGAAGGCTGGCTTAGAATAGAAAAAGAAAGAATGATAACAAAGGTTTATGGACAGAGAGTCCGAGCCAGCTGACTGTGACTGGCCATTAATTAGAAACAACCAACATGAGACCAATCACAGATGCACCTGTTGCATTCCACAGCAGCAGATAATCATTGTTTGCATTTTGTTCCTGAGGCCTCCCAGCTTCTCAGGAGGAAAAATCCTAAGGAAAAGTTTTTTCAAAAAAGATGTCTGTGACAGTTCAGAGAAATCCTTGGGCTTCCACTCAACAATTCTGGAGGCTCGCAGAAATCCTGGAGGGTTTAACACCCAATGAGCACACTGCTGACAAATCTGAGGTTTTAAAGGACACACTGCAGGCCAGGAACTCAATGCTGCTCAGATGGTGCAGGGGATAGGAGGTAAAATCTGTGTATTCCCACACATGTGTGTGCTCCCAGTCCCACAGAGCTCCTGCCATGCCAGAACCACTCTGGATCCTGCTGGAGCCCCTGTCCTACCTGGCAGAAAGGGGATGATCCTCTGCTTGGGGTCCTTCTGGCCTCCTTCCATGGGGAACTTGTCCAGCATCTGCATCTAGGAATGGAAATGCAAGAGAGGTGAGGAAGATGAGGGATTCACTGGCAGGACACAAAGGCACTGCCCAGGAGAGAGACAGAACACAGCAGAGACTCCAACACTCCCTCCTTTGGGAGGAGGAGGAGGAGGGAGATGCAAACTCTCCTTTGGTTTCCCCAGGGCATGGATCTGAAGTGTCTGCCAGGATTTCTGCAGCTCCCTGGTGCCCAGGTGCTGAAATGGGTCTGGCTGGAGCTCTCTGCCTAAAGAATTCACATTTATGGAAGCACTGCAGACAGCCTGCCCAGGAACTGTCCTGAGCACCTGGAAAGTCCAACCTGCAGCCCTGCACAGGCAGCAGTTACACTTTTTGTCATTGGATCTCTGGGACAAATTTATTTATCCCAAACCCTGGGATAAATTGTTGAGCAAACCTGGGGGCACTGGGGCATTTCTGGGGGCACTGGGAGCAACCCTGGAGGCACTGGGAGCAACCCTGGAGGCACTGGGGTATTTTTGGAAGCACTGGGGCATTTCTGGAAGCATTGGGAGCACTCCTGGAGGCACTGGGGACAACTGTGGAGGCACTGGGGCATTCCTGGATGCACTGGGAGCAACCTGGAGGCATTAGGAGCATTTCTGGAGGCACTGGGAGCCCTCCTGCCCCTGCTGCAGCCCCAGCTGAGCATCCCTGGCTGCAGATCTCCTGAGCTCCAAGGCAGAGCTGCACGCTGTGCTGTGCCAGCAGCACGTGCCTGGGCTGTGCCTCTGGCCAGAGCCCTCCCCAGCCATGTGATCCCTCCAAAGCCATCCAGAACTGCAGCCCAGCCCATCTCCAGCTCCCTTTGTGCCCTGCTCAGTGTGGGGAGCCCTTCTCCTTGCTCCAGCCCAGCCCGGGGGCACCAGTACCACCCCCAGACCTGCACCATGCAGCCTGCAAGGAACAAATTGCTCTTTTTTTCCTTGCTGGGAGGAGGAAAAGGGGCTGCAGAGTGTCTGGAGCAGCCTCTGGCATGGACAGGAAGAGGAGAAGGTGGGGAAGGAGAGGGCAGGGGGGATCCCATGGATCCCAGCCAGCCTGGCTGCCACATCACCCAGCCCTGGAGGAGGCACAGCCAACACCAGCCCAGCTCTCCTGGCCATGAGCCTGTGGGAAGAACTGCTGAAAACCTCACTCCAAGCAAAACAAAGCCAGAGCTGGCTGTGAGCACGGGAGGCAGCTTGGGATGGCACATCCAGGAGCACAGAGCCACAGAAACACAGCCTGGGCTGGGGGATCCTCCTGAGCTGCACACACACAGAAAACACAGAACAGAGCAGAGAAAGAGGGAAAGAGCAGAGACAGAGCCTGGGGATGCCAGCAGAGACAAGGGAGAGCTGGCAGGGCTCCAGGCTCTGGGGTTCCCTTTCTGTCCTCCCTGTCCTGCAGGATGGGGATGCAGCACAGCTGTCACACTGCTCCTGCCAAGGAAAGCCAGGGAAAGCAGCTCCAGCTCTGCAAAAGGGATGGGAAAAGGGTAAAAGTGCAGCAACCCCACAAACCCTGGGGGAGGGACACAGGGACAGGCACCAGAGGGTGCTCTGCAGGTTCCAGTGCCAGATTTGCCACGTAGGGAGGCAGGAGGGTGGCATGGAGACACTCACACAAATTCTCTTTGCAGCAAAGGTTCCTCTCCAAGCCCCAAACAGGGCTGCTCCCATCCCATCCCATCCCATATATAATATAATATAATATATCATATATCATATATCATATATCCCAGCCAGGCTCCCAGGGACAGGGGCAGCCAGGGCAGCAGAGATGCAGCCAGACACCAAACACAGCAGAGCACAGAGGGGCCAAGTCCTCTTCTCAGCAATGCACCCAGCCAGCCCAGGGAGGAAAAAACCCCCAGCAACAATTAATCTATTGTTTCTCCCCTTCCAAGATTATTTTTAAGTATTTGTGACAGAGAAGGAGAAAGAAAAAGGCTGGACTGGATGAGTTTGAGGAATTCTGGTGTCTGCTGTGACAGGGAAGCTCTGTATCCCATTTTTTACTGATCCCTTTGCAGCAGGGAGAGGGATCTCAGGCCCTGGAGCCAGGGCTGGGGCACAGAAACCCCAGTGGGGGATCCAGCCCAGGCTCCCACACCAGCACAGGGCACATTCATCCACATTTATCTCCAGCACCAACTAATCTTATCAGTGAGCTGTTTTCCTTAGCCAGGAATGTCTGGGCAGTGAGTCTGGAGCGAGGCAGACTCTGAGAACTCCCTGTCCCCATCCCGAGCTGTCCATTAACAGGGAAATACAGGAAAAACAAACCAGGATAACCCCCCAGGAATGGGCAGCCTGGAAAAGCAGCTTTGTACCAGCAGGCTGGCAGAGAGCTGCTGCACCAGCAGGAAAGCCGTGAGATAAAATCCTAATTAGAGCAATTAGGAGTGCTGCAGGGGATGCTGGGGACAGGGGAGCGTCCCTGCCCAGCAGGATCCTGGCAAGCAGAGGGTTTGGCCCAAAAAGGAGCTGTGGAGCAGTGCCAGGGGGGTTCACAGCGTGCACACAGGGGGACCCCAGAGACCTGAACCCTGCACAGCCCCTGCAGCAGGACATGGCATTCCCAGCTGTGGGGACTCAGGACATCCCTCTGGCTGCCCTGGAGTGCCAGGACCATCCCAGGGGCCCAGACACCTGGCACAGAGCCCAGGACACCTGTGGGTTTGATTTAGCCCTTGGAAAAAACAATTCCAACAATTCCAACCTTATATGAAAGATTACAAGCCATGGAAGTTTAAGCAGAATGAGAGTGAATTTCTCACAGGGTGAAAAATAGATTTTTGGAGTTTTTAGAATGGAGATTTAGGGGAAAAGATGGAGGAATCTGTCCAGCCTTTCTCCTGCTTCTTGGCCTCCATCTTCTGGGTGATGGTGGCACTTTTGGATTGGTTTAGAGTGGAAGCTCACTGTCTAGCATAGGTGATAGGTGTCGGAAAGTAATTGTAAATATTGTACACATAGTTTTTAGTATAAAAAGCTAACACTGCCCTGGGAGGTGGCACCAGGGACCCTGTGTGGTCACAACCCACGCTGGGATTTGGGGATTTGCTCTCTTGGCCGGCAGAGGCTCAGCCTCAAACCACATTACTGCTGCTCTGTGCTCCAGCAGGGAGAGCTGCCCCAAGCCCTGGTACCCAGAGAGAACAGCCAGCAGGGAAAAGGGCAAAAAAGGAGTTCAGCAAAAGGAGTTCAGCAAAAGGAGTTCAGCAAAAGGAGTTCCACAAAAGGTTTCCCAGTCTGGGGGCAGAATCACAAGAGGCTCTTTGTGAGAAGGACAAACTGCCGTGGAGCAGGGAGGAGCAGGGCCAAGGCTGCTCCCATCCCATCCCCAGCTCCCCAGAACCCATCCCTGCAGGGTGAGCTCAGAGGGGACAGCCCTGCACTGCCCCCCTGACCCCAGCTGGACACCAGCACCAACTGGGGCCACCAGTGTCCCACTGGGAGCTGGGAAAGGGACACAGCATGGGGGACACAGCTCCAGGCTGGGAACCAGGGACCTCTCAGAGTGCTCCTGCAGATCAAAGCGCTGGGATCAGCTGGTTTGGGGAAGATCTGCCAAGCAACAGTCTGGGAAAGGGAAATCTGGCAGCAGCTCACAGGCTGTTTAGTCTCTCTGAGATGCTACAAGAGGCACCTTCCCTGCATCCTCAAGGGCTGTCTGAACAAACAGGGGGTGAAAAAATCCCCACAGCAGCCCAGAAGACAGAGGGATTGACAGGGAGCAAGTTCAGATCCCAAATGTGTGGAATGAGACAAGAGAAATGGGCAGGAACTGATGCCCAGCAAGTTCCCCCAGAACTCAGGGAAGAGTTTCTGCCCTGCTCAGTGTCCAGGGAAAGGGCTCCAGTGACACCAACACTGGGCACTGAGAAGGGCAGAAACTCTTCCCTGTGTTCAGGTGGAACTTCCTGAGCAGACCCTCAGGGTCTGCAGTGCCCTTTTTTCCATCCCTGCATTGCCCTGGAGCTGCTCTTGGTGACATCACTGTGAAATCCTCCCTCATGTGGGGACAAAAATCCCTCAATATTGGCTTTTCTGCTGCCTTGGAGCACGGGACAGCAGGGGAAATGGACGGTTTGGGTGCTTAGCAAGAAGCGTGATGCAAGAAGAGGGTCATGAGGCTGCTGTTCCTGCCCTGAGCTCGTGCTCAGCTCAGACCCTGCCTTGTCCTGTCTGGATCCCTTCAGCTTCATCGACTCCCCCTGCAAGGGCAGGACCAGCCCAGCTCTCCTTTCTGTCTCCCACTCCCCATCCAAGTGCACAGATGCACTCCTTGGCTGCCCAGGGTGTGTGGGTGGTGCTCAGAGCAGCCTGTGCTGCACCAGGAGCATTTAACAATAGAGCATTTAACAACAGAAACAGGTCCTGGCCATTTCACCAAAAATCCCCCACTCTGGAACACAGCACTCCTTCACACTGATTTACTGCTCTCCATCCTCAGCCTCTCCCCAGGCAGCATCAATCAGATCAAACTGGCTCATTTTGGAGCCAGGGCTGCTGCCACATGATATAAATTGAAGGTCCTTCCCCCAGCAGAGTGGCTGTGTTGGATTGATTAAAAGCACGTGGAGATGCTGGGTCTCACTCAGGCCAGAGCCACAGAACCTCAGCAAGCCCCAGGGCACAGCAGGAACCTCCCCAGGGACAGAGAGGGGCCCTGGCAGGAGGGAGGAGCTGAATTTCCAGAGCTTTTCCAATAATAAATATCAGGGGAGTGCAAGGGCATCATCTCACCCTGGCTCAGGGAGAGAGGAAACAGGGAAACCTTCCACCATTGCATCATCCAAGGGCTGCCCCCAAAATCCACACTGCATTGTCAGCACAAGCCCCCAAGGATGGAACTTTTATCCCTCCCATCTTTTTGGCTCCTTCCTCTCAGGATCAGGGCCTGCCTGGGATGTGCTTCCCCAGGGCTGGCAGGGCTGTCCTGCAGCTGCTCTGCCAAGGTTCCAGGGGGAAGGAGCCATGGGGTGCCGGGA